CACAAATTATTTCTAAATGAAAAAGAGTTGGCGGTTTCATATAAAAACGTATTTTTTTTTGTGTTTGTAAAATATATTACACCGTCTACAAAAGAGCCACAACTCAAAATTTAGCACTTGGGGAAATTATGCGCTAAAAATGTACACAGAGCTTTTATATACCTTTCTGCAAAAACTGGAGCAAACTTTTGTTTAAATAAAAAAAAAAAAAACTAAGGTAAAGTCGCCCTTGCCCATATGATTATCATGTTCTAGAAATAACGTATTATTTTGAGTTGTGACTCTTTTGAAGACGGTGTGCGATATGTACAGATGTATACTGTATAAATTAACTTTTGCGCTTATTCCTTTTTAGCACAGACATCATGACATTGTTAATATTGGACACTTTATAAAATATATTTACGCACTGTCATATTGTCTTTTTATTTTAGCTCTTCTTCCAGAAAACGTTTTAATGATGCACAGAAACGCAAAGCCCCGTCAGCCAATTTTTCCTTGCTGTGAAAAGCGATACTTAAACGTAGGCAATTTTTCGCTACTGTCGGTTCATACGCAAAACGCGATCCTGGTATAAAGAATACTTTCTCATCTTTCACACAGTATTGTAAAAATTTGGCGGCGTCCGCCAATGGGGGTAATGAAATCCAAATAAAATATCCACCTGATGGTCTTGTCCAATTACAACTTGGGGGTAAATGGCGTTCAAGAACCTCGCAAGTAGCTAACATACGCTCTTTGTACGCAAGTGATACTTTATCAATGTGTACTTGAGCCAATTTCAGTTCGAAGAGGCTGGCCAATATACCAGAAGTATAATTGTTGAAACAACCGCCACTATTCAAGATACCACTGCGATGGGAATGTTCGTTGTATATTAAAAAAAGAAAACACAGCATAATGAATAATTGGAACTTACGACATTTCCAAAATAGGTTTTAAACGTGCAGGTACCTCCAACCAACCCATACGTAGGCCTGGTCCAATTATTTTTGAGAAACTTCCATTCGAAATTATATTTCCAGATCCTTTATCGTAGGCAAACAATCGTTTGGGTGGTCGTGCTATTGTGTAATTTAGGATATTGTAAACGTCATCACAGAGTATTAAGAAGTCATATTTTTGGGCCAGCTCAGCAAGATTTTGGCAAATAGCTGGATTTAATTTAAATAAAGAATTGTGAAAGTATAAGCATGTTAAAAGCTAATAGAAGAGTCTATATATGTATATACATACATATGTACATATATGCACATATCGCTCACTTTCTAAACGACTAATATAATTCGTCGCCTGGGTAAAAGATTGGCTGACTTCCAAAACGTCAATTGCTTTGCATACGTACAAAGTTTAATGTTCCATAACGCCCAAATACTAAATATTGACAATGTATACTTTTCCAAAACGCATCCGAAAAGTTATCGGAACGCATCGCTAGAGCAATCAGCGCATCAGAAACGAAGTTGATGCTTCGTTTGTTATTGGTTATTATTGGTGTTTTAAAAATGGAACATTCAGAAAAATTGTTCATTGCTATATCGACTATTTGAAATATGCAATGTATATGGTTGTAATGTGTCGCAACTCTGCATATACAAACAGTTTGAATATCGCAGTATAACAGTTTCCAAACATTAGGGGTATTCTCCAAATCTTGCAAAGCCATTGCACGTAGCGCGGATTGCACGGATTGCATAAATTGCAAACACACAACAAGAAAATTCATGGGAAACAACATTTCCTATCGCTGCAAAATATGCAACGTCGAAACCCATGTATATATTTTGCAAAATAGCATAGCAAGATAATAGCGACCCTGTGCTAGTTGTTTTGTTGTTGGAATTGCTACATATTTCTCTCATTCCTCTCCTCTCGCTCACTTAATTTTTTTTTGCTGTCTCTTGTTATTGTATTTGATACATAATTTCGCTGCTTGCTCCCCATGCATGCTACCACTTTGCAATGGGGTGTTCTCGTACTCTTCGAAATTTGGAATAGTATTTTTGCATTTCGTGCAATCCGTGCATCGTGCAAGACTTCGAGAATACCCCTATTGTATTGACACGTTTTGGAAGTCAGCCATTGTCGTAAACGCAATTTTGACGAGTTTTATTCATTGCATTGCAAACTTCAATCGCGATTTCCCACAACCTGCCGAAATCAACATACGACACTCTTTTACCCAGGCGACGTATTGTAAATACGAGATTTTTTTGGAAACGCACTTAAGTTTTCAATTTGCTCCCAAAATGATCAACAGAGATACATATTGGGGGTATTCAGAGATACATATTAGGGGTATTCTCTGAGTCTGAGCAAAGCCCTTTCATGGTGCACAGATTGCACGCTAATAACCCGTATTCGTATGGGACAGCTTTGCAAACCGTGCAATCCGTGCACCGCGCAAGGGCTTTGCAAGACTCAGAGAATATTCCTATGTCTTCTTTCACATACTTACGGCGCGTTTACACCGGACAATATTATCAAGTCAATATTGTCCGCTATAAACTCCACAAGATTTTAGCATGCAATTTTTACAAAATATGAATCATGATACCGAGGGCTTATATTTATATAAATAAATAAATACCCTCTATCCGCAATTTTTACAAAAACTACTTTGTGATGTTAGAACCCATCTGGGACTTTACTGTCATCACTGATGTTAATTCTGACTTCGCAATTTAATAGTAAATTCTTCTGTCAAGCGTTATACAAGGTCAGTGTCAAGGTACATTGAACAGGTAGTATCAGTAGAGCAGCTGATTTGATTTATTTTCAAATTATTTGGTCTCGAAAATGTCAAATATTTAACATTTTTTCTCACAAAAATTCTGAATTGTTAAAATCCATTTGCATGTGAAACCTTTTTCCATACAAAACAAGCGATTGAATAGCAGCTTTTGGAACGTTCGCCCAACTCAGCAGCACAACCGCTGATTACTGGCCCTTGTAAAGGATGGATCAATGCTTCGAGAAGCAAACAAATTTACTAGGAAAGAAAGTTGCAACAATTTTTATTTTTTCCAATTTCATTTTTTTATTTTTTATAATTTTTTGTATTTCACATGGCACGCTTTGATTTAGAAGAAAAAATTCAGAACAGTTTTTGACACTTTCGATACCAGAAGCAACAACAAAATACACGCAAATGTTGTTTTTGCTCTACTGATACTACCTGTTTAATGTGCCTTGGTCAGTGTTAATATCACCGATGACAATTGAAATATTTGTTCAGCAATAATTTCATTGGGATATAAACCAAAATGCTTTAATATCGTACAAATTCATTGAAAAAGTTACTTTTTTGTTTTTAAAACATTAAAATCTAAAGATTATGTAAAAACAAGTAATAAAAGACCGGGCAGAGCCGAATATTAAATACCCGGTGCAAGTATTAAATATATGATTTTCACCTTTCCGAAAGCTACCGCATGGTAGCTACCTACATGATAAGCCGGGGTGTATCAATTTTGAGTAAATTAGCGTCCTTAAATTTCGAAATTCGAAGTTTCAAGCATTTCTGAAATTTATCGTTATATGAAAAGCGGCCTTAATTTTAGTCCGATTTCAATAATTTTCAATGTTTTGCTTTTATGTGGCAAGCACACTAACCATACCGAGTTTGGTACAAATTGGTAGAACGGTGACCCAGATACATGTATGTGATCCTAAGTGGGCGGTGCCACGCCCATTTTCCAAAATTTTAACATAAACGTATTTCTTGGTAAAGAATTGTTGCAAGCATCAATTTTTAATAAATTAGCTTTAATATTTACTGATTTATCGAAGATTTTGTATTTCTCCAAATTACCGATATATGGGATGTGGGCGTGGTTATGGTTATTAAAAATTTTCTGCCATTTGGTATGCTGTATCAAGGCTAACAACTGTGCCAAGTTTGGAAGAAATTGGTGCAGCGGTTACCAAGATACACACATGTAAACATAAGTGGGCGTCCATTTTTCCAAAAATGTATAATATTCCTATTTTTCGTCTAAAAATTATTGTAAATATCAATTTCGAGTGAATAATCTTCAGTAGTTACTAAAATATCGCAGTTTTCGTAATTCTGAAAACTACCGTTATATGGGAAGTAGGCGTGGTTATTGTCCGATTTTGTCCATTTTCAATACCATCCGTCCTACGCCCGAAAGAAGTGCACGTACAAAGTTTAGTTAAGATATCTCAATTTTTACAACCGTTAGAGTGTTCACAGACGGACGGACGGGCAGACAGTCACCGCTTAATCGATTTCCTTTTTCATTCTGATCATTTATGTATACATTTTTCTATATCTTTCTCGATTCGTTTTGCCTGTTACAAACAACCGTTATGTGAACAAAATTATAATACCCTTGTGCACAAGTGCCCTCGGGTATAAAAATAAAACTAACAAAAAAAAAAATAAAAAATTTGAAATAAAAAAATAAAATACCATTTGCGCCCGAGGAGGACTCGAACACGAATCTCTCGAACGGCAGCTTTGACAACTCGGCCATTGCGAATCTTTAGGCGGCGCGAGCAAAAGCCATACATAAACGCTATAATTTTCACCACACATTTTTGGTGAACTTTTTCTGACTCTCTCCTACTGATGAATACCAAAATCATCTCAGGTCACAAAAATAGTCACTAGTGCTAGTCTCAAATTCGTGACTTGAGATGAGAATGAATTACTGAATCCCAGTGTTAGGTGGATTTTAATACCAGAATCTAATTTTTGTGAAAAGGGCAGATAGAGTGTATTGAATATATGTAAGCCCTCGATATAACGATTGATTCGGCAACATTTGCTCAATTTCTCTTCTTGAGTTATGGCAGTCTTTTCGTAAACGAGCAAACATGAAAACAAAATCCCTGTCGGATTATGATAGGCGGGAATTGTATAGTACATTGCCCAAAAGGTTTTGGAATTCGATTGAAAACGTTTTTCCTGTAAAATTTGCTCAAATTCCTTCACGCTTACACCATCGTTGTTAAGTCGTACTACAATAAAAGATGTTTCGATTATATTGCGTATAACTGTACATACATATATATAAATTTTTTACTCACATGGTATTATAGTGATCGTTGTAAATTGTTTAATAGCATCAAGTGCAATCATATATGTTACTTCATCAACGAAAACTATACCATTTAAATCGACCAGAGTAGATAAGACAAAATGCAGTCCCTGTGATGCACCGGTTGTAATTATGAGATCCTCGCTGGCGAAAATATTTTTGCGCTACTAATTAGTCTTTGAAGAGACTGTCGCAACTCAAAAACGCAATTTTTCGGCAGATGCATTTCAAATTTCCAATTTGCTCTCCAAATGCAAAGAAATATACATAAATATATCCATAATCGCTTCTCACACGGAAATTACACAAGATTTTAGCGTGAAATTTTTGCTAAATATTGAGCACGATTTAGCGAGTAATTTGGCATCATTATCTTAAAACTCCGTTTTTT